CGCCCCACCGCGCGGCCCCCGCCCCGGGAAATCAGGCGGGCCCGCCCCTCGGGAAATCTGGGTCGGACCACACCCTCTCCCCCGCTGTCCATAGCCCAACTCTCCTGGCCGCGTGCGCGGGCCTGGGACTTCGGGCAGGAGGTCTGTGGGGTCTTTGGTCCACATATGCCCGATTTTATCCCCAATTCATCCTGCCGAGGTGTCGCGGGAGTCCGGTGGGCCAGCCTTGTCTGCTGACGTTTTGGTTTCCTGAGTTTTCAGGCAGGCAGCGGAATGTGGTGCCCTGAGCCCTGGACCTAGATCGGGAGGTTCTGGGTTCGAGATCTCACGCTCTGCGCTAGCCGGAACCTCTTCCTGCACCTGTATAACAGGAGCCACGCTATCTAACTCACCAGGTGATTGACCTCGATCTCGTGATGCGTCTAGCACACTTGGCAAACGGCAGAACTCTGCAACTGCACGAATTCCGCACCGGACCGAGAGTCATCTCCCAGACTCCAGGCACGCCTGCTTTCCTATTTATGCACCTAGGGACAGAGAAGCGGTACTGCAGACTTCAACACTGGCTGCGCGTGCGTGTTCCCTTATTTCCCTCGTACTATTGAGCTAGCTACAACTCTAAACTTTGTTTCTCTTTTGTATTAGTGGGTTGCGCTGGCCCTTCTATGAATGGGAACCGATGATAATGTACAGCCAAGCTACACAACGAGATTTTGTTTCAAAGTAGGAAGTTTTTTTTAATAAAAGAAAATAATATCTTTTTACGTACTTCCTGGTTGTATAAAGCTAAAGATGCTTTTTAAAGAATTTTAAATTTAATTATTCTTTTTTTTTTTTTTTAGAGATTTTTGCTGTAGAGTGTATGTGCTTGCTGGAGAGACAGAGACAGAAAGACAGAAAGCAAGAAATCACCTCCCAATGGGATGGCTATGTGCAATCCCTTCTCCATTTTCCTTGGGATTTTGAGCACGCACACACATATGCCTGGTGAGTTTCAAGCTGCTGAGTCTGGGACTCAAACTGAAGTTGGCCACGTGGGAGTCCAGTGCCTTAACCACCATACCATTATTATTTTTTTAATTTGCTACAGGATGGACACTTTCACCAGAGAAAAAGACAGAAAGAAAGCACCAGGTCCAGGACTCGAACTGCAGTCAGTCACGTGGGAGTTCAGTGCCTTAACCACCATGCCACCTGCTGGCCCCTGAAGATATATTTAAAAAAAATTTTTTTTAATATAAGTTCAATGTCAGTTTTTCTTTTTAACGCCAAAATACTTTGGAAAACTAGTTTTCTGTGGCATTGAGCACAGAGTTTGGTACCTATTAGACAGTCGATACATCTGCCTTGAATTAATTCATTCACTGACACATTTTTACTGAGTAGTTTTGTTACGCTGCTAGGCTGGGAGCTGGAGCTACCATCCAAACAAGTCTGCCCCCCACCCCCATCCCCACCCCCGTCATCGGGTCGGCACATACAGACAACAGGTCACGAGGTCCCACATGCTAAACTGTAAGCTGGGAAGAGGATGTGATGGGAGTGTAGGGATCAGATACCTCGCCTGGTCTTTCCTGTTCAGTGTGGCTGGAGGGAGAGGATGCTATTTTTGGCTATAGGGTAAAGCGGTTTTAGAGTTAGGATATTTCATTTAGCCTTAACTTCTCCCTAGAATGGAAATCTTTCCACTTCTGCTTGCCTGTGTGGCTCCAGTGTTTGCTTAAGTGGCCTCTAGATGGCACCGTGACGACTCGCAGCAGGTGAGAAAGGCCTCCTCAGCAGAAAGAGCACGTTACTTATTCACCTTTTCTTTACAAAAGAATTTATTTTTATTTATTATTATTATTATGTGCTATAGGGCACGTGTGCTCACCAGAGACAGAGAGAATGTGAGAAAGCAAAGCAAGCAGCCAGGTCCGGGACTCAAACTGCTATGTGGGAGTCCAGCACCCCAACCACCACTCCACCTGCAGGCCCAACTTATTTACCTTTTTTTTTTTTAAAAAAAAGGTTTATTAATTTTCTTCCATGAAAGAGAGAAGCACCCTTACAAGGTCTCACACTGTGATGCTTCCCCGCCCCTGCCCCCCAACAGGCCAGAATGAGGGGCAGGCGAGGGCTCAGCATGCTCGCCAGCCCAGGAACTAACTCCAGTTTCCCACATGGCTCCGAAGCTGCAGAGAAACATGCTACCACGAGCGTAATTTTGAATACTTAGAATGTAACACATATCAGACATTTCAAAATAATGGTCAAACACTTTCCAGGACATCATAATCTACAGATTTTTTAAAAAAAAGTTATTAATGAGGCAGGAGGTAGTACAGTATTTAAGGCTGCTGGGCTCCCACATGGCTGACCATGGTTCGAGTCCCGGACTTGGCGGCTTGCTTTCTCACTTTCCTTCTCTCTTTCTATGTCCCTCTTTGGTCAAAAAATAAAATAAATAAAGTTAAATAAAATAATTCTTTAAAAAAGTTACTAATTTAATTGTATTATTTTAAATGTCACTGGACACATGCACTTACCAGAGAGAGAGAAAGCAAGCCGGCAGATGGGAGCCCAGAGACTTTAAGAGCCACACCCCCTGGTGGCCATGATTCTAATTGTAAATCACAAAAAATTCCAAGCAAACAGAAAGCAAGCCGGCAGGTCTGGACTCGGTGGGCATGTGGGAGCCCAGAGACTTTAAGAGCCACACCCCCTGGTGGCCATGATTCTAATTGTAAATCACAAAAAATTCCAAGCAAACATAAATGTATATATAGATATGTTTTGCTTAAATTGAGAAAGACCAAGACATAAAGGAGATGCTTTTTAAGAATTATTTTATTTAGGGATCAGCAGTTTGTGTAATGGCTACATCGCTGGACTCCCATGTAGTCGACTGCAGTTTGAGTCCCAGACCTAGTGGCTTAAACTTGCGCCGGGCACATATGCATGCATGCCCAAGATCCTGAGAGGAAAATGGAGAAGGGATTGCAGTGTGGCCATCCCCCCTGGAGAGTGTGATTTCTCACATTTTGCCTGTCTCTTTCTGGAGTGCACACTCCAGAAAGCAAAAGTCTCCTCCCCCCCACCAACACACACACACACACACATAGTGCCTATTATAAAATATGGTTTCTAGCCTCAAGAAATTTGATTTCAGCCCATCCATGGTGGTACATGCTGCTAAGATGCTGTGCTGTGCAGGCTGGGACCACACAGGAGGCCCAGGCTCAATTTTCACCCAACCCAATGGCATGGCTGGTGACACATGCTGGTAAACACAGTGACTTGGGTAGGATGAGACAGGGGATCAAGAGCTCAAGGCTGTATTAGACAACAGAGAGAGGCCTGGTCTGAAAAAGAACCAGGCTGTTGGGGATCCTATCTATCTCTTGCTCATAAAAGAAACTAAAAAAGCCAGGCGCTGGTATGGTGGTTATGGTGTTGGACTCCCGTAAGGCTGACACTGGTTCAAGTCCCAGACCTGGCAGCTTACTTTCGCTCGCTGTGTGTGTCTCTGGTGAGCGCATGTGCCCTACAGCAAATTAAATAATAAATAGAATTACCCTTAAAAAAGAAAAAGCCGGGCATGGTAGCACATGCCTATAATCCCAGCTGTATCGATACTCTGCTGAGATTCAATCTTGCTCCTCCTCCTCCTGTGTTGGTTGTGGGGTAGTCTCTGTCATAACTCATCAACCAGAGACAATATGGATGTGAATGGGTCTGGCAGTGTTCCAGTGAGTGACAAAAACGGGCTGCTAGTGTGCTGACCCAGGATGGAGCAGCTGGAACGGAATTTAGACCATCAGGTTTGACTAAAGCTCATGAGCACAGGGGGGGCTGTGAGGCACGGGGGCTGCGAGGCAGGGGGGCTGCGAGCAGGTTTTTGTAACTCAGGTCCCATCACGTGCACCGACAGATGCACTTCCCACAGCAGGTGCAGCTGCGCCCACGTCCTCCAAACCGACTCAAAAATCCGCTATTTCGTGCCAGTTTCATACAAGATGACAGAAACTAGGAAAAAGAAAAACAGATGGGATAGTTCTGATGGGATCTCAACCTTGAAATTCAGAAACCAACTCTATCGTTCCAGGAAAGACCTAGGGAAAACCCCCTTCCTATGTTTTAATTATTTGCTGTAGTAATTAAAATAATTGGGATATTTTACCTTCTATTCCGGACTATATTTGGCTATATTAAATTTAGTTTTCTAATAGTCATTAGCTACTTCATACCAGTTTTTTAAGATACTGATTAGAACCTAAACTACCTGGTTTCCTCTCCATTATTTACTAACCTAAAAACAAAAAACTGGAGTGGCAGGGGGTATGGCAGTATAAGGGCGCTGGACTCCCACGTGGCCAACTGGAGATTGAGTCCCGGACCTGGCAGCTTGCTTTTTCACTTTCCGTCTCTCTCTCTCTTGCTCTGTTCCTCTCTGGTCAAATTAAAATAAAGTTAAATAAAATACTTTTTTAAAAAATCATGTATCCTAAAACTTACGAATAAATTTCAATTTTAGTAAGAAAATGGGGGCATAAAGGAGTAGGTATATACTAAACCAAATATTGTAAAAAGCTGTAAAATCTAGGTGGGGGCATATGAATATTCACTGAAAAACTACGTTTGAAATTTCTCAAGGGACCAGCAGGTGGCATAATGGCTATGTCACTGGACTGCCATGTAGTCGACTAAGGTTCAAGTCCTGAACCCAGTGGCTTAAACTCACACTGGGCACATGTACGTGCATGCCCAAGATCCTGAGAGGAGAATGAAGAAGGGATTGTGGCATGGCCATCCCCCTGGGGAGTGATTTCTCACTTTCTGTCTCTGTCTTTCTAGTGAGCGAATGCACCCTGTAGCAAAAGCTTCTCCAAAAAAGAAAAGATATTTCTCATTAAAAATATTGGGATAAAAAGGGACAAGAGAGGAGAATGGGATCAGCAAATGGCATAACGGTTCCATCGCTGGACTCCCACAGAGTTGACCACAATTCAAGTCCTGAGCCCGGTGGCTTAAAAACTAACACGGGGGTGGGGGGGGGACAGCCTGTGGCCTGGTGGTTGAGGGTGCTGGATTCCCACATGGCTGACTGCAGTTCGTGTCCTGGATCTGGCGGCTTGCTTTCTCTCTCTCATTCAATCCCTCTTTGGTCAAACTGAAACAAATAAAGGAATGAATGAATAAAGTTAAATAAAATAATAATAAACTCACACCGGGCACGTGTGCACGCATGCCCAAGATCCCGAGAGGAGAATGGAAAAGGGACTGCAGGACGGCCATTCCCCCTGGGGGAGGGGTCTGATTTCTTGCTTTTTGTCTCTCTGGTGAGCACATGCGCCCTACATCAAAATCTCTCTTAAAAAAGAAAAAAAGCAACAAGGGAGGAAAAAAAACCATCCTTGTAAGATCTTTCTACCATGCTGGGTATAACAACAAGAGGACAGGGAGGCACTGGAAGGCTCAGAGGTGGCATCTGAGGAGGGAGCCAGCAACAGAAAGGGGCAGTGGAGGAACAGCACCCGTGAAAGCTCTTGAGTGATGACAACACCCCTGAGCCAGGGACTCTGCATGTGGCACTCAGGGTTTCAAGTAGAAAGCTAAAAGAACAAAGTCTGTTTCCCCTCCTGTACTCTCTTCCTCTGCCTCCCATCTCCTCACTGGACCCCACAGGGGGACCTGAAACTCTGCTCTCGAGGCAGTTCCATCCAGCACTAGCGGTGGAAAGCCACAGAGCAGAGCCCCTCCTTGACTAAGGGTAAAGAGAAAGGGGGCTCTGAAGCAAGTAGGAAGAGGCACGAGACACTTCACATCTGCTAGGATGGAAATAATACAAAATACATAAATAAGTGTTGGCAAGGATGTGGGGAAATTGGAACCCTCACGCACTGCCATTGGGAATGCAAATTGTGCAGAAAAACGTCTCGTCGCTCCTCAACACGATACCCAGAAAAGCCACGCGACCTGGCAATCACACTCCTAAGTATCTATACAGAACTGCGAGTACAGACCTGAACAGGTATCTGCACACCAACGGTCACAGCAACAGGACCAACACTATCCAAAGGCGGAAGCAGCCCCAGCGACCAACAGACAAGTGAACACAGGGTGGCATGTGCATGAGAGTACTATTCAGCCATGATGAAGGAAATTGGACACACGCACTGGGAATGAACTTTAAAACATGCTAAGTGAATTAAGACACGGAAAGACAAATAATGTATTCTGCTTAGGTGAGGTACGTAGAGTAGGCAAACTCAGACAGCACGCAGAATTGTGGCTGCCGGGAGCTGTGGGAGGCAGGGGAAGTAAGCATTTAACGGGTGCAGCGTTTGTCAGTGACGGGGAGAACATGTGGGCGAACAGTGATGACGATTACACAGCACACCGTGCCAATGAGCTGTAGGTATACTTAATGACTAAGAAGATATTAAACCAAAAGATAAACATGTTTGCGTATTTTGTCCCCAACGTCACATGGATGTAGACAAAGGAAAATGAGAAAGCACTAACGTCGTGCGTGTTAGTGACATGTTATTTGCAATACCATCAGGAAAACGGTCTATTCTGAAATGCTATCCATTACTCAGACCCAATCAGACCCCAAAACACACCTTCAATGAAGATCGGCTTCAGGGTACTTGGAACACATTAAAAACAGCATACGTTTTATTTTCAAGCACATAATAAACACCAAACTTTTCCAGTCTGACTGTACCCTTCATGAATGCTTTTCACATAGAACTGGGTATATTGGAAGCAAGTTGTTCCTAGTAAGGTTTCTGATGATCAGGAATCAAGATATAATAGCTGTAAAGGTAAGAGAATTTTGCATCCAGCATCTCTGAAACCAAGATATAGCACACTTTACTTTCAAAGTAAAGGACAAATGTTTTACCACACTCTTCAACCCATACAGCACTGCACTGTGACATGATCCCTGTCAACGCCACACAATTGTCATACATAATTCACTTCATGTGAGCTGAGGGACTGACCTTAAAACATGCATTATTTCAAGTATGTAAGTGTGCAAGTACAACTCTACAACCGATCTTAACGGAAAGGGTAAGTTCCAGGGGCTTTTTATTGTTTAAATCACAGAACACACAGAACCAGGCCAAGCCACCCCCAAGGAAACGGTCATGTTTCACTGTTATTTTTGCCCTTTGGTCCTTCATCTTCTAAGAACTTATAATAGTTTCTTTTAATGATATTAGACATTTATTCTGATCACAAATGCAATCCAAGTGTGAATAAATAAATGCATTATCTTTTAACCCCCCCATGTTCTGTTAAATAGAAAAAGTTGCTAAATGTCTCTTCATAGCCTATTTGGCGGCAGTTGTCCCACCTATGGTTTTAAAAACAGACTGTAACTTGACTTTCTGAGATCCATCTTGAACTAGAGCTCATTCCATTGAAGAAATTCTGGGAAAGAAGTCCTACTGATATTGTCGATAGTCTCCGAAAGGTGAGGATGGTAACTGGGTTGAAGACAACTGGGAAGGGTCTTCAGCAAACTGAGGACCTGCAATTAGGAAATCAAAAGTATTTTAAAGAAGCATCTGAATATTACATAATTAAAACATGAGAGTCTCTGTAGAGATTAACTCAGTTAAAAAATACTGCTCTCGGGACCAGCAGTTGGTGTAATGGCTATGTCACTGGATTCCCATGTAGTCAACTGTGGTTCGAGTCTTGGATCCGGCAGCTTAAACTGACGCCAGGCGTGTGTGCATGTGTGCCCAAGATTCTAAGAGGAGAACGGAGGAGAAGGGATTGCGGCATGGCCATCCCCTGAGGGGTGATTTCTTGCTTTCTGTATCTCTGTCTTTCTGGCAGGCACACACGCCCTATGGCAAAAACCCCTACAAAAGAACAAAAACAAAAACAAAAAAACCCACCGTTCTCAAGCACTATAATCTGATTTTTATAGACCTGCCTAGTTCTCGTAAACATACTGGAGAACCTTCCAATGTGGTGTAATGTATGACAGACTGGCTTCCCTTATGCTCCACAATGAACAGCCCTTAAAGCAATGCCAGGAAAGTCAGATGGATTAATTATAGCAAGAAGCAAATTCAAGTTTTTCAAGTAATTGCTGTAGCAAGCTGCCATATATGAAGTTTGGAAGAATCTCTCCCACTTCTTGACATATTTTTCAGTAGCTATTTAAAATTATTTTCATAAAGTTTAAGTACCTTAGTCATGTTTTAAGAGAATTCAATCATCCAATTTATATAACCAATTATGCAGGGAATGAGCTCTGAAATGGGAAGACACCCCCAGCAGCTTGCTGTAGAGCAAAGTCTTGCAGTAAGGGAGGACCCATGAACTAAGGGGAAAAAAAAAAGGATTTTTGGGACCAGAAGTCGGCGTAATGGCTGTGTCACTGGACTCCCATGTAGTCGACCGCAGTTCGCGTCCCAGACCCGGTGGCTTAAACTCACACCAGGCGTGTGTGCATGCGCACCCAAGATCCCAAGAGTAGAGTGGAAGAAAAGGGATTGCGGTGTGGCCATTGCCCCTGGGAGGTGATTTCTCGTTTTCTATCTTCCTGGCGAACGCATATGCTCTACAGCAATCTCCCCCCCCAAAAAAAAAGTAACCAAGGCTAATTCCTGTAAGACAATGTAACTAATTTTTGTTAAATCCATTTCTGGAGTTCTATAAATATGGAGCTCTTCTTTTTGTTTCATGTGAAGTTTTTCATACTTCGGTCAAAAGCAGCAAGTGTCCATCACACAAGTGTTAGTTAACTCAGAAGTTATGGTTAAGGACACACGAGGTCACCCAGGTCACCCTCAGTGTGTTTGAAAACTATGCCAAAAAGACACTGAATCACTTACTAGGTGCCTCAGGGAAATCCGATCAGAGGGCTATAATCTAAGTCTACGTTCAATCTTTTAAGCACCAAAATAATCTCCAACATGTCTCACTATTCTGCATATTTCCTTCCCCAGATGCAGGCCGTTTTCCTTACTGTAATCCTCAATGCAACAGGGTATTTTCATTTAGACACTAAAGTTTTTTAAATTTTTTTTTTGTTTTTATTTTTAACTATAGGGCACACGTGCTCATCAGAGACAGAGGAAGAGACAGAGAGAGAAGAGATCACCCCCAAGGAGGGATGGCCATGCCACAATCCCTTCTCCTCCGCTGTCCTCTTGGGATCTTGGGCATGCATGCACACATTACTTTTCGAGCTGTCAGGTTCCGGAGTACAGCTATGTGTTGACTATGTGGGATCCAATGCCTTAACCTCCACACCACCTGCTGGCCCCCAACACTTAAGTTTTTGATAGGGTACAAGAAACTGTACAAGTCAATGGATGATTAGGTAATCCATGAGCTCAAAATGATCATTCAATCAAAAATCTACCTCTTACCCTTTTCATCAGGTGAGAGGAACAATTAGCAACCAATCACATGACTGACTCCTCATGGAGACTTTCTCTGTGAATGCTAACATGACCTTCCCAAACTTACATCACTTTCTAACACTATTTTCTTTTCTTCAAGGTACCGCCTGTCTGTACTATGGCAGTCTGTAAGGGCAGAGAATATCCTGGTCACTACTATATCCCAGCACCTAGGACAGTGCTGGCACCCACATGCACAGTAGGAAGCTGTCAACTGTCTATTGTCACTGTTATACATCTGCAGAACCATTCTTCAAGCACCTTTAAAATGACCAAAAATTTCTAGAAGTAAATAAGTACTGACAAATAAATAAATAAACAGGAACTGGGGCCAGTAGGTGGCACGGAAGTTATGGTGGCTGGATCCCGCATGGCTGACTTCGTGGTTGAAGTCCCAAGCCCACTGCTTGGGAAAAAAAGAAAAGAAAAAACACTAGGAGCGTGTATGCCCAAAAATCCCATGGAGAAAAGATTGCGGTATGGTCATTCCCCTCTGTGGGTGATTTCTTGCTTTCCCTCTCTCTCTGTCTCTCTAGTGAGTGCAAGTGCCCTATAGTAAAATTAAAACAACAAAAACCCAAGAACTGGATAAAAAGATTAGTAGCAAATTATCTAACCAAAGCACTTTTACGACTGAGGCTACATGTAACGATTGAGACCAGGTCCACTTTTTAAGTAGTCCACTTTTTCAGAGCCTATTATCATAGTCTTCATGAACCACAGCATACGAATACCAAGGGGCTTCAAGTTTGTGGAAAAATTAAATTGAAAGTGTGAGTTTAGGGGCCAGCAGGTGGCATGGTAGTTGGGGAGCTAGACTCCCACATGGCTGACCATAGTTGTGAGTCCCAGACCTTGCTTTCTCACTTTTTTTTTTTTTTTGGAGAGATTTTCACTGTAGGGTGCGTGCGCTCGCCAGACAGACAGAGAGACATAGAGACAGAAAGCGAGAAATCACCCCCCAGGGGGGATGGTCACGCCGCAATCCCTTCTCCTCCATTCTCCTCTCGGGATCTTGGGCACGCACGCACACGTGCCCGGCGTGAGTTTTAAGTCACCGGGTCCGGGACACGAACCGCGGTCGACTATGTGGGAGTCCAGCGACATAGCCATTACGCTAACTGCTGGTTCCCCTTTCTCACTTTTTCTTACTCTCTCTGGTCAAATTAAAATAGAATAATAACAAATACAATTAAATAAACCTTTTTTTGTTTTTTTTTTTTGGTCAGCAGGTGGCGAGGTGGCTAAGATGCTGAACACTCCCACATGGTCAACAATGGTTTAAGTCCTGGACTTGGTGCCTTGCTTTCTCACTTTCCTTCTTTCTGTGTGTATTTTTCACTGGTCAAAAGAAAATGATTAAATGAACAAATAAAATAAAATAAATAATTATTTTTAAAAATAACAATAATAAAATTATTCTTTTAAAAAATCTTTTTTTTAAAGTATGAGTATATTATGGTTCAAAATTTTGAAATCATGGTTCTTCGTAACACATATTTTCTATAAACTTTTTTCTTAAAGAATTATTTATTTAATTGTATTTATTAGTTTCCTAATTTTTGCTATCAGGCATGTGAGTTCATCAGAAATACACATACACATGAGAGAGAAAAGGAGAGAAAGTGAGAAAGAAAGCCACAAGGTCCAGGACTCCAACCTGCGTTGGCTATGTGGGAGTCCAGCACCTTAACCATCACACCACCTGTTGGCCCCTCCATAAACATTTTTGTAGACTCCTCACACATAACACAGAAATGGCAAACTACCATGTTTTCACAGACAAAACAGGTTTTTCCTTCTTCCGCTTTTGGGCTTTGAGGCACATATGTGCCTGGCATGTTTCTCAAGCCACTGGGTCTGGGACTCAAACCATGTGGGCTCCAGTTGCCACGGCCTAGCTTGTTATTTAATGTCAGAAAAACATTCCAAAATTGAGAAGAAAGAAGACTCACCATTGGGAAACTGTGCAGAGGCAAACCTTGTCAACAGGATACCAGCTCCTTCAATTAAAGCTAAAAGAATGCCACCCATTGCAGCTGACCCAACCATGGCCACTGGTCCATCTAAAGACATAAACAACAAAGAGACCATTTTAACAGGAATTTTGTACACTGTAAGGTACAATAAAGGAACGTGCTGTCTACATGACTATAGGCTCCCCCCATTCCCAACTGCTCTGACTGTCCAAGACCTAGAGTCAGCAAACCATGGCCCACATATCAAATCAAGCCCACTGATTCTTTTTGTAAATAAAGTTTTATTAGAACATAGCCATGTTCTTTCACTAAGTACAGTCTGTGCCTGCTTTCATGCTATGACAGTAGAGTTGAGCAGGTGTGACAAAGACCATATAGCCCACAAAGCTTTAAATATTTACTACCTGGCTTTTTACAGAAAAAAAAAAAAAAAGTTTGAACTCTTGGTCTAGACCACCAAGCAAAAAGAATTCTGGGTTGCTATCTGTCTCAAAGATCTAGAAATGGTTCTAGCTTTTTATTCATAACATCCCTATATGGTAGGTACCGTTACTAATTTCAGAGTACCAATGAGAACACTACCTTACACAAAAAGTCTGATAAAGTGCTTGGTCACACAGCTGAGCAATGGCAGAATCAGGACCCGACATGGTCTTACACACTGTGATGTGCGGGTTCAAACGCCATGCTCTTAGTTTCAAACATCCCAAATAAACAGACTCCCTGAATTTTCTTTCGAATCTCTGTATATATTCATGCTATGCTAATCAAGCAGTGTTCATTTAATATCCCAGACGCCGTCAAACTGAGCAGGTGAGGGACCCGCACGGCTGGTGCCCGGTGTACTACGACCACTGCTTACTTCTTGCTGCCAGAATGGCTCCTGTTAAGGCACCACTTGTGATGGAGTTCCATGGATCTTCTTTTCCTCTGACTTGAACCATGCTACAGTCAATCATGGAAAACAGACCTCCCCAAACTGCAAAGCTACCTATTTTAAAAACAAACAAATTTCATATTTTCACCATAAAATTTAAAAATTACAGTAAAAAATAACAACACTCACTATATTCTCAAAACTCACTAACAAATATATACAAACACAAGTGCGTATACTGAACAAAAATCACAATGCTTGTCTTTTGAATAAAGCTTGGATTATACTGTATCAGCTGGAAAATCAGCAATGGCCCAAAGCCTCATATAAATAAGCCAGTCCTAAAAGTCAGGATGGCAGTGGTACAAAGAAGATGGGGCTGCTGTGTGACAGTGAGCCTGCACAGGAGACTGCGGCTCAGTTCCCAACCTAACCTAAACTGGCTGGACACATTAGCACACACCCGTGGCTCCTAGCTAATTGAAAGGCTCAACAGGAGAACCATGATGTGGTGAGACCCACAGAATATCTCTCTCTTGGAGCCAGCAGGTGCAGTAGTGGCTGACCCACATGGCTGACTGTGGTTCAAGTCATGGGCCTAGCATGGGCATGAGTAAGCACATGCACAGAATCCCGAAATGAAAAGGAATCACAGCATGGCCATCCTCCCTGGCAGGTGATTTCTCACTTTGTTTCTCTAGAGCACTCACACACCCTATAGTTTTTGTTTAAAAAAAAAAAAAAAAAACAAACAAACAAACAAAAAAAAACAAAACAAAAAAACCCTCACCATGCTCTTATTAAGGGGGGAACAAAAAGTTAGGCTGCAAATCACCCTTTCAGAACAATGTATCTCTGTTTAAGCAGCAAAAAAATGAAATGAAAACACCATGTTTCTGCCCTCTTTTGCTTTTTCTCTTACAGTTTAGTTATTTCTCTTACTCTCTTCACTGCGTGTCACTGAGTACTACCACCTACTCTATAAAAACCCACTGGTGGGCAGGGCCACTCATAGCATGGTGGTTAAGGTGACTGGATCCCACATGGCCAACTATACAGTTTCAGTACCAGACTAAGCTGCTTGAGAAACACATCGAGCATGTGTATGTGCAGAGTCCCAAAAGGAGAGAGAAATAAAGAAGGGATTATGGTGTGACCATTCCCCATAGGAGTGAGGGGGTGCTTTCTCACTACCCTTCAAGTCTCTCTCCATCAAGTACACATGGCCTGTGGAAAAAAATTTAAAAAAAAAAAATCACTGGGACCAGCAGATGGCATAATGGTTATGTCACTGGACTCCCACATAGCTGACCACAGTTCAAGTCCTAGACACGGGTTTAAAACTCACACTGGGCATGTGGGCATGTAGACAGACCCGCCTAAAAAATAAAAATAAAAAAAAAAAACAAAGATCTTCACACAGCATTTTCTTATTTTTTCAGAGAGAGACTCAAACTATGGCTGACTACATTGGAGTACAGTGACATAACCATTACACCATCTGCTAGTCATATAGCATTTTCAAAGCACATATTTTCCATGAATTTTTTGAAAACCCCTCCCACCCCCAATATATACAAGTATATACAAAATCTAGAGAGACAATATCAAGATTTTAATTGTTAGCATTTCTGGGGGCTTTAACAAATTATTTAATTTCCTCATGCTTTTCTGTATTTTCCAAATCGTCTAAAATAAATACCTAAGACTTACATCACACAAAGAGAGCCATTATATTTAACAAGATCAATGATGAAAACCATAAAGGAGCACTCCACTTGGCAAGGTTCCCCCAGGGAGCCTTGGGTCTCATCAAGGCTCACCTTGATCACCCCCAGGGTCTTTCACACTTAGCAGAGTGAGTGGCAAATGGTAAGCACTCGTTAACTGAACAGTCACACCGGCAATCACAGCTGGTAGATAGGACCAGCTGAGGTGTAGGGTAAGGCTTCCTCATTTTGATCCAGTATTTGATATTTTATATCACATAAAAATGAATCAGTTCTTTCTTCTTTTCTTAATTGCCAGAGGATATGTGCATTCACCACAGAGAGAGAGACCCCCAACGGGAAGCAGTTATGCCACAATCTCTTCTACTTCATTTCTCTAACCACTTGGGATTTGGGAGCATAAATGCACACTCCTCAGTGTATTTTTCAAGCTACCAGTCCAGGATTTGAACATCTGGCCATGTGAGATCAGCCTCCCTTCACCACTAGGCTAAAAGACTGGTCCAAAAGATTAGTACTCCTCGCCCACTCCCCAACCAAACCTTAGAGGCCAGGATTCAAGCCGAGGTCAGCCAAGTAGGATCTGGCTCTCAATGCACAGTGCTGAACCATTACATTCAATTCCTCTTCTAACTCAGGTAATTCTTCTAACTTAGGTAGTTTCATGACCTAGAAGAGCTGAGATACCCAGGTATATTAGAACTACCTTATTTGAAGGGCCAGCAGGTGGCATGATGGTTAAGGCACTGGCCTCCCACATGACCAACCACGGTTAGAGTCCCAAACCCAGTGGCTTGAAAAAAATCAGACTGGGGGAGACAGAAGGTGGCATGGTCACTAAGGCACCGGACTTAATGTGGCTGACTGTGGTTCAAGTACCAGACCCGGCAGCCTGAAACTCACATTAGATATGTGTTTATGCATAGCCAAAATCCAAAGAGGAGAGTGAAGGAGAAATAACTGTGGTGTAGCCCCTCCAGGGAGTGATTTCTCATTTTTCTGTCTCTGGCGAGTGCATGCACTCTATAGCAAAAAATCTCTTAAAAAATAAAACAGAACACACTGAGTGTGTGTATGTCTATGTGCACGCATTCCCAAAATCCCAAGAGGAAAATGGAGCAGAAGGGATTGTGGTGTGGCCTTTGTCCTTTGGCCTTCCCCCAGGTAATGATTTCTCACTTGCTGCTTTCTCTATGTCTGTCTGTCTCTCTCTCTCTCTATGGCAAAAACCTTAAAAAAAAAAAAAAAAAAACACACCACTAATTTTTCAGATAAGACTCTGCCACTTTCTCACAAGACCAAAATCTCCCCACCACCCCAAGAATCACTACCAGGGTAAGCTACAGTTACTGACGAGAAGGGAGGATATTAAGTCCAAGTGGGGTGAGGAAGGTGTCCACGCAGAAGGGAGCCTGGTGTGGAAGCCAGAGCAAGGTGAAGAGGGAGTCCACACACCCAGGTAAACCAGCAAGAGGGGTCAAGTCTGAGCAGAGTGAGGCGCAGCCTGATAGGAAGGCTCAGAGTATTTCCACTCTGTGGAAGGGAAGCCTGGTGTGGGTGCCAAAGCCCAAGGAGGCTGAAGAGCGAGGCAAAATAAAAAAAGCCCGGGGAGGCTGGCTAAAATTAAGAGGCGTTGATGTGAACTAACGATTTTTCTATGTATAGACATACAAAAATGTATTAGGTTGTCAGGAAGGTCATGACATATTTTTCTATGCAAAAATGCATCATGACCTTCCTGACAATCTAATAGATAGAAATTTGTTCATGGATGTGTGTAGTTAGTGTATGTTTTATATCAATACACACAGACACACATATGAGTATCCCCAAACTCTAATACAAGGAGAGCATTGGAATAGTAACATCTCAACTGTAACAATACACTTAGTGCTGGATTTGACTTCAATATCATTCTCATCTAAAAGGAACCAGGACTTCTTGGAGAAATGGCTGACTCCACAATCCAGGCAGGGAAAGTACAAGAAGAGTATCTTGTTCCAAAGAAATCAGACTGGGGGAGACAGAAGGTGGCATGGTCACTAAGGCACCGGACTTAATGTGGCTGACTGTGGTTCAAGTACCAGACCCGGCAGCCTGAAACTCACATTAGATATGTGTTTATGCATAGCCAAAATCCAAAGAGGAGAGTGAAGGAGAAATAACTGTGGTGTAGCCCCTCCAGGGAGTGATTTCTCATTTTTCTGTCTCTGGCGAGTGCATGCACTCTATAGCAAAAAATCTCTTAAAAAATAAAACAGAACACACTGAGTGTGTGTATGTCTATGTGCACGCATTCCCAAAATCCCAAGAGGAAAATGGAGCAGAAGGGATTGTGGTGTGGCCTTTGTCCTTTGGCCTTCCCCCAGGTAATGATTTCTCACTTGCTGCTTTCTCTATGTCTGTCTGTCTCTCTCTCTCTCTATGGCAAAAACCTTAAAAAAAAAAAAAAAAAAACACACCACTAATTTTTCAGATAAGACTCTGCCACTTTCTCACAAGACCAAAATCTCCCCACCACCCCAAGAATCACTACCAGGGTAAGCTACAGTTACTGACGAGAAGGGAGGATATTAAGTCCAAGTGGGGTGAGGAAGGTGTCCATGCAGAAGGGAGCCTGGTGTGGAAGCCAGAGCAAGGTGAAGAGGGAGTCCACACACCCAGGTAAACCAGCAAGAGGGGTCAAGTCTGAGCAGAGTGAGGCGCAGCCTGATAGGAAGGCTCAGAGTATTTCCACTCTGTGGAAGGGAAGCCTGGTGTGGGTGCCAAAGCCCAAGGAGGCTGAAGAGCGAGGCAAAATAAAAAAAGCCCGGGGAGGCTGGCTAAAATTAAGAGGCGTTGATGTGAACTAACGATTTTTCTATGTATAGACATACAAAAATGTATTAGGTTGTCAGGAAGGTCATGACATATTTTTCTATGCAAAAATGCATCATGACCTTCCTGACAATCTAATAGATAGAAATTTGTTCATGGATGTGTGTAGTTAGTGTATGTTTTATATCAATACACACAGACACACATATGAGTATCCCCAAACTCTAATACAAGGAGAGCATTGGAATAGTAACATCTCAACTGTAACAATACACTTAGTGCTGGATTTGACTTCAATATCATTCTCATCTAAAAGGAACCAGGACTTCTTGGAGAAATGGCTGACTCCACAATCCAGGCAGGGAAAGTACAAGAAGAGTATCTTGTTCCAAAGTACAAGAAAGGGCTTGAAGAATAGTAGGGACATGTCAGAACAGTATCTTATTTTTTGTAGGTATAAGACCTTTCAGGATACGCTATAATTTACCCTTGTTGTCTGTCCCTGGATCTTATGTGAAGGCCTTAGTAAATGCTCATTGAATTAAACTGAAAATATCATCCCAGTATTTTCAGAATTCAAGACACTATGAGGACACCTCAATAGTTTTTTTTAAAAAAAGGATGATTCCCAGATCAGCAGGTGGCATGGTGGTTAAGGCACTGGACTCCCACATGGCCAATCACAGGTGGAATCTGGGCCCTGGTGGATTGCTTTCTCATTTTCCATCTGTCTCTCTCTGGTGAACATGCATATCCTGTAGCAAGTTGGAAAATAATAATGATAATAATTTTTTTTAAAAGTTCTTTTTTTTTTTTTTTTGAGAGAGATATTTGCTAAACAGTGCATGCACCTGCCAGAGAGACAGAAATCAATGCTCAGTGGGGATGGCCACACTGCAATCTTTTCTCCTCCATTCTCCTCTTGGGATTCTGGGCACACACACACAGTGCCTGGCATGAATTTAAGCCACTGGATCCAGGACATGCCTTATAGCAAAAACCTCTCCAAAGAAAAAAAATCTTTCAATTTTAGAATAATTTTAGATTTATACTTATTTAGAAAAGCTGTAGAAATAGTATAGTGAGTCCCTGTATATCCAACACCCAGAATCCTTTATTACTAATAATCTACACTGATAGGGTCAACTGTTATAATTAATGAATCAAATACGGGTACATTATTACTAACTGAAGTCTATACTTAATTTAGATTCCTTCATTTTTTTTTTTTTTGGCGGGGGGAGGTTTTTGCTATAGGGTGTGTGGGCTTGCCAGAAAGACAGAGACAGAAAGCAAGAAATCACCCCCTAGGGGGGATGGCCATGCTGCAATCCCTTCTCCTCCATTCTCTTCTTGGGATCTTGGGCATGAACGCACGCATATGCACCCAGTGTGAGTTTAAGCCACCGGGTCCGGGACTCAACCGTGGTCAACTACGTGGGAGTTCAGCGACATAGCCATTACACCATCTGCTGGTCCTGATTCCTTCATTTTTTATGTCCAAGTTTTCATATTACATTTAGTCATCTCCTTAGGCTTCTCTGGGTAGGGACAGTTACTTGACTGTTATTAATTCATTAAAAATACATAACATGGGACCAGCAGGTGGCGTTGTAGTTAAAGCACCTGTGTTCAAGTCTTGGACCTGGTGGCCTGAGATACACACCAGGCACGTATGCCTACATACCCAAAATCCCAAAAGAATGGAGAAGGGACTGCGGTGTGGCCATTCCCCCTGGGGGAAAAGGGGTGATTTCTCACTTTTCCTCCCTCCCTCTCTCTCTCTCTCTCTCTCTGTCTCTGGTGAGTGCACATACCTCATAGCAAAAAAAAAAAAAAAAAACTGAAAACATACAAAGTCACAGAAGCAGCCTCTCAAAAAACATAAGTAAAAACCTGTATGGCTTCTGCATACACAAGAGGTCCAGAGTTGGGTGTGTACTCTACTACTGCTACTCCTTCTAGAACAACACAGTAACCCCCAAAACAAATGGAAATTAGTCACTATTTCCATTCCAGGGTATACAATGATTACAGAGGGGGAAAAAGGAAGATACATCTCACTACAGTGACAACTGGTAAGCACCCAGTAACTGATAATTCACACTGTCAATTAAATCTAGTCTTACCAGTAGAAGCACAGCATAAGTGCCTCATTTTTTGTTCAATATCAGATATCACACACTACCTAAAGATTAAGCAATTTTTTCTTCTAACTCCACAATTCTTGCCCTGGGAGCGAGTTATGATATATCACATCAACCCTCATAGGACCTCAGGAATTTAATTTTCTCTTTTGGGAAATGTGGATAATATGAGTACCAACTTCTTACGCTGAGGCAAGGATTAAATAACGCTATAAATCACTCAGCAGGATATCTGGGAAATAGGAAGAGCTCACTAAATGGAAGCTATTAGCTACTGTCTTCTGAAGAAAAATAGGCTAACAGAGAAAAGTAGTCTGATGCATAAAATTTCTGAAGTCTGAACCCTTTTTCATGACATATCTATTATCTCTAATTTCACTGTATCTTTCCAAGTGAAAATAATCTCCACACTTCCTTGTCTTTCCCTTCTCCTAGCATCTCAATAACCATGTTTCAGTTTGTGTTTTTTTTTTGTTGTTGTTACTAGGTTTTGTTTGTTTGGTTGTTTTTTTTAGTTTTTGCTATAGGGCACATGTACTTGCTAGAGACAGAGACGTAAAGAGAAAAGGACAGTGAGAAATCACTCTGCCCCAGGGGGGAATGGCCACGCCACAATCCCTTCGTTCTCCTCTCAGGATTTCAGGCATGCACGTACCCATGCCCAGTGTGGTCTTCAAGCAGTCAGGTCCAAGACTCAAACCACACAGTGGGCCACGGAATCCAGTCACCTTAACCTCCATGCCATCTGCTGGTCCCTGAACAACCAAATTTTAAAAGTTCAATGAATATAATTTTTTAAAATTTTGCACTGATGTATGCACAATGTCTAAAAGTTAACCTTGAAGAAGAATCCAGTCCGATCAATTTCTCATAAGACCCCAACCTTCAGATCACTCACTAGGCTGCAGTTATACCTCAGAACCTCTCCTCCCTAACTCATAAAACTGAACTTTAAACATAGTCTTGTTTTGGAGAAAATTACTGAGCATCTGAAGGACAGAAGTAAGATTTTCAAATAGATACAATAATTCAAGCTAATGTTTCCAAAGAACTGTACATCATAAAGAACCTACAGGTATATTAGTAAAACTGTATGTACATCATAAAGAACCTACAGGTATATTAGCTTGTGACAGGCTAACCACATTAAATACTCTAGGTCAAACTAAAGTAATTAATTAATATAAACAAAAAAGGAAGGACAAAAATAAGAGTTCCATTTTCGGATAAACAGAAAGATGTCTGGCATATAACAAGAACATTTCTGCTCACCTCCCAACTGTGGAGCTCTTGTTTTAATAGCTGTCAAGCTCCCTCGAAGTCTGTGGTTTACTCCCTAAAATAAAATGAAGCAACCAAAAATATATTAAAGCATAATACGCTCTTTCTTCTTCTTCGTTTTTAAAAGAGTAGAGGGAAGGAGAGATGAGAGAAAGGCATTTCTGACAGGGCCTTACTACATCATCCCTCCCATCCTACTCTTGTGACTAGCCTGCTTTTTTTCTTTCTTTTTTTTTTTTTTAATTTTTTTAAGGTTAGGCTGGAAACTGAACCCAGGCCTCCCATATATCCCAGCCACCAGGCAGCAGCACCTACCAACATGTGCCACTGCAGATGGGCCTTGAAGTATAATACATTTCTAAATGATGGGGCCACCTGAACAGCACCAAACCCAGGTTTCAAGTGATGATAAAACAAGACCATTCACCCACTTACCATTGGAGAATTGCGAAAACCTTTGATTGCTTGAAAGATACCACCACCTATGGTACCCATCGTAAAAGCCCCTCCACAGTCGTCCACAATTCGCCAGGGGCTAGAATAGGGGAAAAAGATGACTGTATTTCTCATTCATAAACCATAAAACCTTCTTTACAACACAATAAGGTATTCCACAGATTTCAGTTCAGGGTCCCAGAACCAATAAACATTTGGCCTAGGGGACCAGCAGGTGGCATGGTGGTTAAGGTGTTAGACACATGGCTGACCATGGTTCAAGTCCCGGACCTGGCAGCTTCCTTTCCCCCTTCCCCCCACCGCCGCCCCCCCGCCCCTC